GCGGGCATGGAGGAGACTGGCTGGTGCTGGTGGTGGTGCTGGGAGTGCTGGCACGGGAAAGTGGATCTTCCTCTTCCACATCCCCTCGCCTCTGCCTTTCTGCCTCCCTGACTCTGTTGACCAGCACCTCCGTCCAGTGATCGAGGGTTTTGGGGCTGCCAGTGCACATGTTCCCCTTCACCCTCGGGTCACACATGCCCGCCAGCATGTGGACCGTACTGGACCGCAACGGATCCAGTTGTCTCCTGATGCCCTCCTTCAGCCGCCTCACCAGTGCCTGCACGTCTGGTGACAGTGGCTCACCCCAGCCAGGAACATTGATCCCCTGGAAGCTCTCCATTTGGCTCTGAAGTTCCCTCACTACGGGGATCACCTGGCTGAGGAGGGCATCGCCAGCACTGAGGGTCTCGGTGGCCTCAAGGAAGGGCTTGAGGACCAGCAAGATCTGGGAGATGGTATCCCACTCCGCTTTGTTAAGGGGGCCGCTGATCCCAATCTCCCCGAGCAAGGCCATCTCATGGATGGCTTTCTGTTGCTCCACCAGCCTTTCGAGCATCAGGTATGTGGAGTCCCACCGAGTCTCCACATCCTGCATGACTCTGTGCTGCGGGATGCTCAGCTCTGCCTGTTTCTCCCAGAGCATCTTGCTCCCCTTGACGCTGCGGTGGAAGTAGCCCGCCACCTTCCTGCATTTCAAAATCAGCTGGGTGGTAGGGATGGTGCCATCCCCGGCAGCCCTGTCCCCCTCCAAGGCATCCCTGACAATGAGGTGGAACTTGTGTGCTACGCAGCGAATGCCAACAAAGTTGGCACCACGCACCGCCTTGACCATATTGTCCCTGTTGTCGGTGACCATGAACCCGCGGGTGAGCTCACCCTGCCCGAGCCACCCTTGCACCATGTGGCTTATGGCCACCATGATCTCCCTTGCCGTGTGGGACTCGTCCAGCACCTCGGCTTGGAGGAGAGCCCAGCGACGGCCTGACTGGTCACACCAGTGCCCCGTGAGGGAGGGGTAGGCGGGGTTGCCACCCCCGCCGCCTGTGGACCTGCCTTGCGCAGCTCCTCCCTCAAGTACTCCCTGCATGCCTCGTACAGGGAGGGCACCACCGTCCTGCTAAAGGTGGTGCGTGCGGGCACTTGGTACAATGGGGCCACGAGCGCCATGAGCCGCCTGAACCCTGGCCTCTCAACTAGGGAGAAGGGCTGGCCATCGACAGCAAGCATCTCCCCAATGCTCTGGGTGATCTCGCTCGCTGTTGCAACGCACCCTGCTTTCTGTCCGCCTTCCTCCCATGGTTCTAGGGTGGCCTGCCCCTGCTTTGGGGGGACGGCGGCTTTGGAGCGAGAGGGGGACTTCCCTTCAGGCACGCTCCCACCGGTGCCAGGCTGCGGAGGAACGAGGGCAAAGGGGTGGTGCCTGCGGAGATGCATCAGCATTGCCGTGGTGGTGAAGCGTTTCAACTTCTTGCCCCGGCTGATCTGCCTTCGGCAGTGCTGGCAGATAGTAAACCTGGGATCATCTGCCACCTCCAAATGCCCCCACGCTATGCTACTCACCCCCTTCTGGGGTGGTATCCCCCTCCACAGCAGGCAGAGGCACAACAACAGGGGAAGCTGAGCCACCTGCCCCCACAACCGCCTCTGCTTTGCCTTCTGGAGAAGGAGTCCTGGCACTAGGGGAACTCTGAGGGGTGTGGAGCACAAACTCAGATTCCCCCTCGGTCCCCAGAATTTCTTTTGCCAGGGCGTTCAGGTCCCCTGGTTCCAGATCCAGCTCTTCCTCTGGCACTGGGAGAGTCACACTGGGAGATGAAATTGGGGTGGAGGAGGCTGTCATTCTGCTGCTGGTGGCTGTTTCTGGTGTTAGGGGAGGTGGTGCAGGGGCAGCGGTGTCAGGTGCAGCCACTGCTCCCGCCGCCTTGCTCCCACTGGCAGCAGAAGACTCATGGCTGTCAGGAGGGAGGGTGCGTCTATGTTTGGGTGGGGGGGGACTTGCAGCTCCAGCTCTGCCCCTACCCCCTCTATCCCCTCTCCCTCCCCTGCCAGAGGACCTGGCACCTGCCTTTCCAGCACGCTTCATATTAATCTTTCCTGGGCTGGAAAACGTATGTGTGTGTGTGCATCCACAGCTGTAATATCTCTTCTTCTTCTTCTTCTCTGATGTAGGTGTGTGACTTCTTGTGTGTTGTGTTTAGTCTGTATGCGTAACTATATATAATCTCTTCTTCTATGATATATGACTGTGTCTGACTTCTGTGTTGAGTTTAATAATATCTTTTCTTCTTCTATAATGTACGTGTCTGACTTCTTCTGTGTTGTGCTTAGTCTGTACGTGTGTGTAACTATATAATATCTCTTCTTCTCAGTGTATGTGCGAGAGTGTGTATAATGTATGTGCTTTCCTGCACAGTGATAGATCACGCTGCCAGGAAAAACACAGCTTTCTTTTTTAAAAGTGTGTGTGGGGCGGTTAAAAGGGGGGTGGAACACCCCCCCCCACAAGAACAAATAAAAGGTTTTGGGGGGAAGAATAAGTTGAAAGAAATGGATTGGATAGGGGTAAGTAGAGGGATTCTAGGCAAGGGTAATTAGTAAGCTGTATCCAATCCTTCCAAGAACAGAAACTAGCAGGAGGTTGACTAGGAAGCCAAGTTAGTCCAGCAGTACCTTTCAGTCGCTGTCGCTCAGGCAGAAACAGCTCACAAAAGGGACAGAAATGCTGCAGATAGAGGCTTATAGGCTGTTTCTATGTCCCACCCCCAGAGCACAGTGATTGGACGGGGATTCAAGGAACGATCACAGTCACTGGCCAGCTACAGATGTCAGTCTTTCCCCACCCCCCTGCTCCCCCTCCTTCTTATCAGTTTCTTTCCTCTTGAAAGACTGCCTTCCACATCTCCAAATCTTTTCTGGATCTTGTCCAAATTGACCCCGAGGTGTTTTTTTTTTCCCTCCCAATTCCATCTGGATTCAGGGATTTGGCCTCCGAATCGAGTTGAATCTTCTCCAGATCGAATCGGGGACCGAAGCTTTGCACACCTTATCACAGATGCCCCTTTCCTACAAAGCATGTGTCCAAGCCCTGGTGAATCCGGCTGAGCTCTCAGTGTCCCCCACATCTGGACTCTCAGCATCTCCCACATCTGGGCTGTCAGTGTCCCCCACACCTGGGCTCTCAGCGTCCCCCACACCTGGGGGCCACAAGTCCCCCCTTTCATGCTCCGCTGGGGAACAGACCTGCCCGGTGTTGGCTTTAAGCTGCCATGTGCGACCCCTGGTTCTTTGCCTGAGGAGAGAGATGCTGATAAACCCCCAGGTGTGCCTACACGTGCATTTAAGCACACCTAAAGTTAATGCACACTAGCTTGAGTGCATTTAGGCTTGTGTGGGTCTACATGTGCAGGCGTTACATGCTTGTGGACTGACTTGGGACTAAAGTTAGTCCTAAATCGGTACACACAGAGCGTTCGTGCTCTTTAATGCATCTATACGTGCATTAACCTGCTTTGTCTGTGCCTAATGTGGATACTTGTATCCAATTTAGGCGTGACCAGCCTAAATCCGCCACTTTTTGCGTGCATTGAGGGCGTGCATGTATAGACGTCCACCCTAATGCGTATTAAAGCATACCGCTGTGTCCTGAAACAAAAGGGGTCGGCTTGAAGCTGCTCCTTGGGACCCCTGGATCTTGCTGGGCCATCAAACCGGGACTGGCTCTTCCCCACCCAGGGCTGTGCCAAGCAGGAGCTGCCCCGGGATGGCTGCAGGCGCCTGCCTGCTTTTTGCAGCCGGCAGCCCTGGTTCCTTGCCCGGGACGAGGATGCTGCGGCGCCCCGGGCGGGCTGTCCCGGGGCAGGAGCTGCCCCTGGGGCTGGGGGAGCCCGGCGAGGGGCGGGCAGGGCTGGTCCCACCCCGCGGGGCGGCCCGGGCGGGCGCGGGCCTTGGTTGGAGCCC